GTGAGAAATTAAACACCGGAACTAGGACAGTACCAAGGAGATTTAGATAAGAAACCAGATTTTAGACATTGTGAGGTAGAAACAACAGGGGAAGTTGTATACCGGTGACAGGGAAACAGAAGTCGAGCCCCAGGATGGATGTCCTGCAGGGATGAACAGGGTTCTTCCCCTCTATTTGTTGATCTCATGGCACTGCACCACAAATGCCTGAGCCGGCTTTCATGTCTGCCAGCAAGTAGGGCCAAGGGGGAGCCATGGCCAGTGGTTGGTGCTGCCGACGTGGTGCTTCCCACCATCCAAACACCAAAGCATGCCAACATGCTCGGCTTACTAGGGGGAAAACATGACGACAATATTCAGAAGACCCACATCGAAACCGTGGTTCTCCCATGAATCTGACATACGATCTACAGAGAGTAACTCTCAGTCTTGAGCTTTTGAACCCTTGTGGCTTCTGTGGGGTCGACAACGTGCTTTGGAAACCGAAAAACCCTGTACATAGGGGGGATTACTAATGTTCTGTCACTGTCTATTCAAGCAACCTCTTCCATCCTCATCTCTGTATGTACCCAGGTATTAGCACCTGACCTGAGACATCTATCTCTCTACATCTGCTCATCTCCCACCCTAACCGTCTCTTCTTTTTTTGTTCCTCTGATCCTGGAATTGAGAGCTATTTAGTACAAGGTTTACCATAAAGGAAAGCTTTCTCCAAAGTAATGCCATTTGCTTGCAGTATACCCAATATGGATATCCATCTCTTTTCCACAGTGAAAGAAAGTTCCACATTTTGATACTATTTGAATGTGTGAAATACTACCATAACAACCTTCTCTGGGATTTTCTGAATCGTAACAAATTATAGATCTTGGGACCCTTTAACATTGACCCTAAAAGTCCACTACCTTCACTCTCTTCTCTATACCATTAAATATGCCCCAGATTCAAAAGCTAAATGAAGAGCAGTGATCTGTCCTAACTCTGGATTAAAACCAAAAACAAAAACTAAACAAAACAAAAACCAAAACATAAACAAACAAAACAAAACAAAACAAAACAAAAACAACTTTGTGTTGGATTTATTGAAAAGTCGTTTGCTGATCTCCACACTCTCACCATCATGAAGAGGTTTTCAAGAAGATGTTAACAGCAGATGATTTTAGAATTTAACCAAATCCCCCACTCCAGTAGGAGCCTACCCCCACCCCAAGTTTCCCTGGGATGCATAGCATCAGTACTTCTCACACACTGTGAGGCAAACACCATTTTTTCTTTAATAAAACGGAGGCTAAGACAGATTAGGTTCAGGACAAGATGTGGGTATTAAAGCTGACCTGCCCCTGGGTTGTTGTGCACTCAAGAGCAATGACCGGCCTCCAGGTCCCGGCTCTGGCGCTTTCAGCCTGACTCACCTTATCTGAATATTGGAGAAAAGGCACATTGCACCTCATGGGCCTGGGCAGATAATGCACAGGACAAGAGTCTCGTGAACTGTAGGGCAGCTAGCCGATAGGAGCTTTTAGAAAAGAGCCAAAAGAAAAGATTCCACTGTGTCTTTAAGAGGATTTCTAGTGGGAAAGGAATATTTCTCTTATAAAAACTTGCTTATAACAATATTTTTCAAGGAACTCAGCTCAGATGGTCCAGGAAACACATTATGGTCTACTGTAGCATGCAAATTCACTGCTCAGCACATTATGGGAACATAAATATAATCACGATCCCCCACACTTTATAGGTTCTCATGCTGCCTCCTTCCGTTCTTTATTCTTTTCTTCTTGTCTCTCCTCTCCTTTTCTTTCTCCTCTTCTTTTATATTGCAGGGAAATCAAAACAGCTCATCTCAAATATAGGAGAGATTTCGTTCTTTCACTTAACAACAACAACAACCACTTTTTCCTTAATAGGTCCAACATCAAATTCCTCCAAGCTTCTCAATGTAACAAAAGATCATTGTTTTAAGGTAGGAAGGTCCGTTTTCCACCGGTGATTGAAACAACTGGAAATAAATGAAAGCCAGTGAAAAAACCCGAATAGCCCTCCCTTGGCAATTATTTAGCCCTTGGAAATTTCCAAGCCCTCTGCAATCATTAATTAATTAGTGAAGATGTTCCACTTTAATGAGGCTGGAAGCGAGACACAAAGAGGTCTAGAGGCTTTCCCTAGGCTGAAAGAGGACTGTCAAGAGAGGAACTGGGATTAGAATTACGAGCTCACTTCTCCAGCCAGTAGTCACATCAGCAAGCCCAGCAGTGGCAATATTGGGACAATAAGGGCCTCTGGGCACAGGTGCAGTTGAATACAGCAGTGCTCTGCCCAAAGACCAACTGTGGAAAGCCCACCCCTTCAGCCACCAGTGCCCCCACGACACACACAGGAAATGTCTGCAGCTTCATCGGCCTCTTTCCCCTTCCCCAAACAAAACACAGACAGACAGCGAAATACCAACCTCTAAGCACTGTCCTCTATCATGGCAGCAAAAATACAGGATTTAATTTTCATTTTTAAAATGCACAATATGATGTTAAAATGCATGGCATGGTTATAAATAAATATTTCCAAAAAATTTAAATGACAAGAAATTCCCGGATATCCAGAATCTGTAATAACGTAGTAGATCATCCTGAATCATGACCTCGTGCCACTAAGAAGGAAAATGAAGTTCTGTGCTTTCTGGTGAGTGGTTCATCAAAGCTGATTTCTGTACCCTGACTAGATTACCAAGGGCAGACCAAACGTTAATCATGTGGCTGCACCTGACATCGTAGATCCAGCTCTTGCAATGGGTGCTAATTTTTTTCTCCCTACAATTCTGGATTGTTTCAAAAGGTGGAAGAGGAACTCCTGGTTCAGTACTTCTCACCAGATGATTCCCTCCACCTAGACATACTTTTGCTCTGGATTATGTCTGTTTCCCCAGGTGGGATGTTGGCGTTCTTAATCATAACCTGGGGCCCATCTCTTTCACAGGTACGTCAGTCGAGTTGCTCTAGACAGGGCAAAATGGCATGTCTATATGAGTTTAAGTGTTGATGGCAATTTTCCCAACCTAAACTCTTAATCGTCTGTAGGAGAATTTGTTTCGGTTATACCAAGGTGAGGTGAAGTTGAATAACACCCTTTTGTTCTGACCTGGTTGTTTTCGGGTCCTCCTGGAAAAACTCTTCCTTGAAAACGGTAATGTTAATAAAGAGGAAGCCTATCCAGCTTGGCCATTCTGGATAAACTTTACGTAAAAAACAAAACAAGGGGCACTTGGGTGGCTCAGTGGGTTAAGCCTCTGCCTTCGGCTCAGGTCATGGTCTCAGGGTTCTGGGATCGAGTGCTGCACCAGGCTCTCTGCTCAGCAGGGAGCCTGCTTCTCCCTCTCCCTCTCTGTCTGCCTCTCTGCCTACTTGTGATCTCTCTCTCTGTCAAATAAAATAAATAAAATCTTGTAAAAAATAAAACAAAACAGAAAACAAAAAAACCCTTAATAAAATCTCTCTGCATGGAGAGATTTTGAAAAGAAGGGCCTTTCAAGAGTAATGTTTCAAAAACATGTATAATTGTAACTTGGAATCTTCATGCTGGAGAATGACGATGGCTGGTCCACTTTCATGTAATGAGAATTCATAAGGTTAAGAGGTGCCTCCAGTTACTCACAGGCCCCACTGGGAAGGGTTCCTTTCATCTAAAGAACCTAAAATTCTTTCGGGACATAATAGAGCAGATGCTTTCATGTGAGAATCGTGATTTAGTAAACACCTTACCTGGAGAGCAAAGACCTAACAAATTTGTGTTATAATGTTGAAAATGTGATTAGGTATGTCTGGAAATTGACAATCTCAAATGGGTAAAGGGTTACACATTGGCACATATCCATACTTCCATAATCCACCTCAACAATTACCTTTTAACTTTCAATTAATCAAGGGCTCTGCAGTTTCTGATTTCTCAAAGCTCTAGCTAAAAGGGAGGGCTCAGTTCCAACCCAATTAATTGGAAACTAGCTTGGTTTCTCCATCACATCCCTTCCAAGTAATTCTCCTTGGTTCCTCTTGTCAGGGTGGAAGGAAACATCATCATGTCGGTTGTAGCCCTCATGGACAACCCAAGTTGTAGGTGAGTAGGTATGTGTGGTATTATATCTTAGCTTTTCATAGGCAGTAACTGAATGCATTGACTTAAAAGACATGCATACTTGCAATTAAGTCAAACCACTGTCACAAAGAATTTTTAAAACTTTCCTAATATAGTTAAAGCCTGGAGAGGAAGATTCTTCCTAGAGGATCAGTGATGGGGATCAACAAGAGACCAAAAAATGAGTGCCATTATACTGTAGCCCCTTCCCAAAGGAAACTAGATGAGGTGTCTGCATTATCTTGAATCCCCTTGACCTCACCCACCTCCTGGGCCCAGGGCCACTTGTTCTGTCCCAGCAGCCCTGGGCTCGCTCTGTCCAAGGCAGAACCCCAAGCACCACTTTGGCTGGGGTTCTGACTGACTTTACCTGAACCCAATCTGACAGCACCGTATCTCATGTGCCCTATACACCACTTCCCTACAATCCTGGGAACGTCCCGTCCCCACTAAAGTATGAGATACTGCAGATCTACTCCCTACTCAGAGCCCAAATAAATGGAACATCTAAGTGGGAGGAAGTTTCTGATCCCCAGAGGAAAGCTTTGACAAACAGGAGACAATAGCTGGAAGATAAACTATTTTGCCTTTCTCTCCCTGGACAGACTATCCTGATCTGTTCATAGAGAGTCTTCTGGAAGACGATCCTCAAGACTGAACAGCTGGTTGTACTTGATACTAATCAGTAGCCAGACTGGTAACATACCCCACATAGGATCCCCGCCCCTTTCCTGTTTCACTCAAGCTTCCCTGGGACTCTACCTCCTAATGACATAAAAGGAGCACATAACGCTTTTGCGTTAGGCTCTGTTTTCTGGGGAGAGGAGGCCACGATACATTCTCCTGCAATCCCATCACTATGTGAGTGAGCTCCCTACCTTTTGTTGCAGCGGTGGTGCACACGGTGCTGAAACGGGATCCGTGATGTAGGTCTTCTTGGGACCAGCAACTGGATACATCCCAGGGGGGTTCTGGTTTCCTGTTCCAGAAGGAGTATACCCTTGCTCCCGCTTCCAGGTGTTTGGGTGACCTTGCTGACCATAAGCTGGATCGGTCTCATTTTTGCCCCCATAGCCAGGCCCCGCTGAATAGGCTTCATAATAACGTCCTTGGTTAGGGGCATACCCATACCCGGGCTCAGGCTGAAGTCCTGGTGGTGGAATATAGGCATAATCCATGCCCCCTCGTGTTGAAGGAGGTGGGCACTGCCCAGAGATAGAAACTGGGGGAGTGTTATAGCCCTGGGGTCCTGGGCCTTGGCTGTAAAATTGTCCTGATGAAGGAGCAGCCATATAAAGAGAGCTGGGCTGGGCTGACTTCACCTGCACATTGAAGGTAGGCCTGGAAGGGGTCGACGCTGTCGTATAGGAAGCGGGGACTGGTGGAGGCTGGGGTTTTAGTGTCCCAATTGGTGCCACAGAGATGGGTCCAGCCTGGGGTGCAGGCTGTGGTTTCAATGTAGACTTTTTAGTTGCTGTTAGAGGCGGTTGGTTTGGTATAATCATTCTTTTGTGTCCTGTGACAGGGGTGGAGACTGGAGGAGAGGCTGTCGAGCTAGTAGAGCTCTAGAGTAGGAAAGAGAAAAGGATAAAAACAAAAAGTACAAAGATTACCATCAATGAAAAATAATAACACAGAAATGAACACATATTAGAAACTGCTATTATTATCTTGTATTAACTCCGTAAAACACAAATAAGGCATGGTTCCTGCCTTCTGAAAATTCACAAACACATACACAAATCAGGTGCATTTTTTTGGTACTAGCAATGAATAACCCCCTCAAAAAATTAAGGAAATGATTCTGTTTACAATTACATCAGAATGAAAAAAAAAAAAAAAAAAACCCTTAGAATAAAGCTAACCAACAAGGGCAAAAGACTTAAATCGAAAAAGTAAAAATACTGCAGAAATAAAGACATAAATAAATATGAAGACATCCTGTGTTCATGGACTGGAAGACTTAATATAATATAGGTTAATAATACCCAGAGTATTCTACAGATTTAAGGCAATCCCTATCAAAATTCCACTGGCAATTTTATAAAAATAGAGAAAATTCAGCCTAAAATTCATAGGGAATCTGAAGAGACTCTGAATACCCAAAACAATATTGAAAAAGAACAAAATGTAGATCTCATGCTGTGTAATTTCAAAACTTATTACAGAGCCACCAAAATCCAAACAACATGACAATGGCATCAAGACAGATGCACAGACCCACAGAATAGGACAGAGAGTCCAGAAGCAAACTCTTGCATGCACAAGTAATTTCTGATAAGGGTGCCAAGATCATTTGTTAGGAAAGGATAACCTTTTCAACAAACAGTGCAGAAAACTGGATATGTACATGCAAAAGAGTGACCTTGGACCCTTACCTTACACTATACACAAAAAGTAACCCAAATTTTTAGCTCTAAGTGTTAGAGCTAAAACTACACACACACACACACACACACACACACACACACACACACACTTATAGAAGAAAACATGGGGAAAAACAAAACTTCATGACATTGGCTTTGGCAATTTTTCCTTTTAATTTAATACTGAAAACACTAGCAATAACAACAAAAATAAACGAAACAATGTGATTTCAGTCAAATTACCCAAAGACTTAGTCACCATTCAGCTAAAAGGAGGTACCAGGGAAAGAGAACAGAGGACCAGGCCAAGGGAAAGAAAAACTAAAGTGAAGAGGGGTGTTGAGAGAAAAACCCCCAGCCCAACCAAGATGCTAAATTTTAGAACAAAGTTTCCTGTCAAAGAGTGATTGACCAAAGATAACTCAAACGCTGACTCCTCCTCCTTTTCTATCTGTCCGATTTCTCTTGTAGACATTCATTCAATTCAGAAACACTTACTGAAGATCCTAGGACTGTTTAAAGACACAAAGATGAAAAGCTCTCACTGCCAAAACATGAGATGTCTTGGTTGGGCTGGGGATAAGGACAGGCTCGGGGAAAGCCTGGAGATTTAAACTTCCATTCTCGGGCATTAGACGATTAGGGATCCGAAAATGCGCCAATGACAGAATGTTTTCATGTTACTCTGAGTTACAATGATTAGATTTGTTGCTCTAACAAAGGAATGACCACACCCTGATTTTGTTGTTTATTAATTTCCAAGCAAATTAATGTATGCATAGAAAGGGAGAATGCAAGGCCTTATACTACTCTAGTGTCATTCATCCACACCAAGACACCAAAGATATGTAGCTCGTGGGAAAGACACTGTTAACTGCTTCTTCATGTCTACTTCCCTTCTTCATTACTCAAAGAATTTCAATTCTATTCAAGGAACAATGTGCACAACTTAAAATACTTCCCTCGACTATGTAGTAGATAGGAGTTGCCTTGGGACACAGTTCTGACCAAAAAGATATACGCTAAGCATTTCTGGGAAAACAAACACTCTCCTGATTAAGCATTGTCCCTACTTTGCCCATTTCCTCTTTCCTGCCTGATATGTGGATATGGGATCATAGATGGGGTAGCTACCTTGTCCCCTCCATAATACGCAAGTCTTTCGATTCAGACATATAGCTTTCTGATCATCTACATTGATCAGGGGTATTTGGTTAACATATAGTGATTCTCAACTGGAGAAGAAAAATCACCTACTGACCAGGGAAGTTTGGGAATGAGGGGGGATAACTTGATTGTCATGGTGACTAGGGGACACTATTACCACTGCATGGGCAGACAGCAAAACACATCATTGTCAAACCCAAGATGGCAACAGTGCTCCTGATGAAAAACACGGATCGATTCTTGGGCCTCATTTCTTCTGTCCACCTACCTGTGAAGTTCCTAGATGTGAGCCTAGGAGGTCACTGGTCCTCTCTAGCATCTCTCCTCTACAACACTCACCACCTCTTGGTCCAAAATAACTGCTCTCCTCCTTTGTCCCTGTGCGCCTCGACAACATGACAGCTCGGACTCTGCTAGCTTCAGATTATGGCTCTGTCCCTTCAGGCTTCTCTCTATTCAAATGGGCCTGGGTACACACTGCATTTATGAGTTGGCTTACTACCATTTGTGTTGGGATCCTGACTGCTACAGCTCTGTTCCACATTTTATTTGTCTCAAATTCTATTTGTGTACTTTCCTGGGGAATTTGTAATTCTAGGTGTAGTTCTCTTGAGTTTACAAGAGGCTGTTGAATACAGCCATCTTTTATCCCCTCCCCCTTTTAATACTAGCCTTTCAGGGGACAAACTTGCCAGTTACTTTTGTAATTTAAGCAACCTGAGTAATATTGTCTTGGAAGAGTAGCCTTTCCCTTCTGCATGAAGATGGCTCCAGTAGTACCCAAGAGAAAGAGATTCAATTTCCTTTTCAGCAATGTATTAAAATACACATCCTCAAGAAATTCCTAAATAAGTACGCAGTTAAGATCCTGACATTTTGTAGTAGAAACCACGGTAGAAACAATTTGAACCAAAAAAAGGTCATTTTTTTTTCCTAGTCAACCATGTCAGTCTTAAAAAATGTCAGCATCGATGGAAATGAATATAAGAAGGAATAAAGCTTTTCTTTTCTTTGATGACTCAAGATCAGCAGAAACCCAGAGTTCCTATTTTGAACACTTTACAAACCCAACTATAAATGGAGACAGTGACTGAGCAACTGGGCTAATGACAGGCACACTCTCTGCTGCAGCTGTAACGAAGTCTGCCCCCAGAGCAGATCCTTCAAAAGTCACCGATTTAAAAATGAAAGCCAATGACTGGATAAAGTAAAGCAAAAAGACTTAATGTCGACCTAACTCTTTAGAAGAAACTTTGTTCCAACATAATTCTTTCTTTTTTAAGATTTTATTTTTTTATTGTCAGAGAGAGAGCACAAGCAGGCAGAGACAGAGAGAGAAACTGGCTCCCTGCTGGACAAGGAGCCCGATGTGGGACTTGATCCCAGGACCCAGGGATCATAACCTGATCCAAAGGCAGCAGCTTAACCGACTGAGCCACCCAGGTGTCCCCAATTCTCTTTCTCTTTTTCTTTCTTGATGAACCCAGACCCAGACCCTGACCCAGACAGACAGAAAGACAGACAGACAGACAGACACACACACACACACACACACACACACACACACACACACACACAAACACTTTAAACATCCCCCAAGTCTTTGAAGGAAGGCATCAGGGCACAAATTCAATAGCCATCGCTTTCTTCTAGGAAATATCTCGCCAGTACAGCTCTCCTCGAGGGATGAGAAGGTTTCTCACAACTTTATTATGAATTCTGCTGTGTATGTGCCGGCATGTTTCTGAGTATTTCCTATATCATAACTACGTTAGTGAAAATAGCACATTTAGCTATATTTTTTTCCCCTGAGATTTTACATTCTTTACCTCATTGGAGGTGGAAGGGGTAAAGAACAAGAATCATTTTAAAGCATATTTATTTATGTTCTTCATAGTTAAAGAAAGCTATGGCAACATTTTCCTGGCCCACATATTCAATTAAATACATAGTGAATCTTTTCTACTCGCTGAATTAGTTGGCACTTCCGAGTATTTATTTTTGGCATATCGTTTCTTTTTTGTTTTTGCAGAGATTCTTAAAGTTTTATCATGATTTAACATTTTTATTTTGAAAATCAAGCACATTTTAAAATTATGAATATATATATATATATATATATATATATATATATATATATACACACATCCCCTGAGACTTGAATCTCTGTAACAGTCTTTTTATGGGGTTATTTTTCCATTAATTATTCTCTAAGGATCTTGGACATGAAAAGTTCTGTGAGGTTGATGGGAGAAGGGCAATATCCTCAGATGAGGGGTGCATGTCTCCCTGTCCCCTGGGAGTTTCTAGTCAGGTGGAAGGGCTAATACATAATCAGTAGCTGTTGAATGGATGTTCCCATTACCAGGGAAGAACTGGCTGCGGCCATAAAAACAACAAAAGACTAGGGGTGCTGACAGCAACTCTCATGCTCACCCTGCGGGCCACGTCCTCGACTTCCTTTATAGCCAAGTCAGGATAACATCTTACAGTTCCTCAGTCTCTCTCTTGCCTCTGATCACCCACTCCCTGGACGTGCCTGTACACACACATGCGTGCACGTGCATGCATAAACACACACACACACACACACACACACTCCCCTACTCTACTCTACTACTATGTCTTCTATGGAAGTCCGCATATTTCTTAGAACCATGCACTTGACTCCAGTTTAATTTTCCTTCCCCTACTATTTGTCTCCATCCCCATTTCCCTGAGCTATTTATTGCCATCAGTGAACTCTACTTCTTTCTTTCTTCCCTTTCTCAATAACACCAGGGTCATCTAACGTGACTGAGCCTGATCCCCATCTGCAAATGACTGCCTTGTGTTGAATTCTTTTTATGACATTTCACTCTTTGTTTTATTTTTTAAATATGCTTTGCAAAGACTTTCCAGTCTAGCCCCTGCCTCCCTGTCCAGCCACCTCCTTTTTTCCACACCACTCACATCACACACTCCAGCAATTTTAGGCGTATGCAGAGACTGGAATAGATCACACAGTTATGTCTGTACTCATATCTGTC